AATCAAAACGACAAATATCTGGGTAAAGGTATGACAATTTGTTGCGAAAATGTGTCGTTGCTGGTAAAATAGATGAATTAAAGAACTACTCGCCGGCTAAAATATGACCTTATACAGATATCCTGATTAAAAAATTATGTGAAAAAGTACGAATTCTGTATTAAACAACTAAGTTGTAAAAAAAGTACATAACACGGACGATGTCAAATCACGTACTGATCACGTGACAATGCTTTGCCCACACCGGCAATGCGCCTTTGCCAGGGAAGGAGACCAATTCACACCTAATACAATGACCGTTTCTAGACCGGGGATAGAGGGACTGTGACTAGAGTCAAACATCGGAATGTGGTAATGAATACGTTAAGAAAGTAAGGCTGAGACCATGGAACTATAAACCCCAGGAAGAACAACCACTTCGTTTCCTTTGAACTATGATAGTTGCCGCGATGTCGAATGTTTATTTTGACTGTTTATTTCGTCGCATTAAAAAATAAGCCGATTTACGCAAATGAACGTTTATCTCCGACTATCGGTCATTTTCGGAGTCAATCGGGCGACTTTGGGAGATCACGTGATCGAGTTGTTTCGGTTATAGCATAAAAAACAATGGCGCCAAGACAAAAACACTGATAAATGAGCGACATTCAACGGGGAAAAAAAAACATTGCCACTTCTGGCGATCGAAGGGAAACACGGAATAAGTCGGGATATCTCGACAACAAACAGCATACCAAACCCCATGTTTCGCGAACGTTCGCAACCTTCGCAAACGTTTTTCGAGGGTTGAAAAAAACAAGAAGTAATCTAAAAACGACATTGAAAATTATGAAAACTCGCTAAAACTCCGACCCGTTGCATGATTTCCGGTACACTGAAGGTCACCCTGCAGACCGACTTGTTTGCGCATGCGTAGTGAACGAAATATTTTACTGCGCAGATATGAAATTTTTTTTTCAAGTTTTCCGTTTCCAGCAAAGCGGTTGATACGGGCGTATCGGCGGCAACTAACATGGAGTATGACTAATGTTGTGGAAACAAAAGCGAAAGCACTGTAAGATAAACTAAGACAAAGTTTTTTTTAATCCTTTTAGTTTCGTTGTTCTTCCTGGGGTTTATAGTTCCATGCTGAGACCAAACTTCTGGCATTGTCGATATGTGCATAACGGTATTGTTATGAAGAAAATGACGGGCATATTTATCTCGAATATCGATGTTGCTCCAATGACATGGTCGTTTCCAAAAATTTTATGATATAAATTATTTTTACCTATTTCGCTCAATTTTAAACATATTAATCGACGCAGAAATATGATTTTCGATAAATTTGTGGACATTTCATCATAAATTATTCCCCCACGTCTTGTGATTTGTTATAGACTTACCTGTTGCATTACCATATAAATATTACGGTGTAAAGTCACATACAGTGCTGAATATACATGGGAAATAGTCAATTTGCGCATGTCTGTGTATGTGGTATTATAACGACTGATATATATATACCCCCAAACGACAAGGGATCATAATGCATTACTGAATATCTCGGCATTTCTAATCTTATTATTGCCTGCGAAGTCCTAGTGTGATCGAAATATATTTTGAGTATTATTTAGTGATTTGAACACGCCTAGCTACGAACGAGGATGGACAATAATGGCGGATTTGATGAGGTACACGGACAAATTTCACCAAGCAACTGCATTGTATTACTGAATGTCACGGTATTCAAATCAAAGATTAGCAGTGCCAATAAATATGTATATACTGTGACAATATCCATATCCAAATTCGTATCACTCAAAACCTTTACAATAATATCGAACTACCTTGTATTTAGATTGTTGTAACTGGCGTTATCGGGTGTTGGGCTGCAAATAAACAAACGCGAGACGTGGTAAGTACACACCATATTTATTTCGAAACAATGTTACACCGGTACACAATTATGTTTTCGCTCTTAGTTCTGACTCGACTCGTAACTAATTTCATACTGATATAACGGCAATGTCGATAACTTACCTTTCTTGAGCATGTTTAAATCATTCCGACGGAAACAGCAGGGTGTTATTCAACGTAAATATATATACGTTATTTTATCAACAAACTTGCAAACGTACGTACATACATCACAAAAGTACAGCAGTAACATTGCTGTTAACGTTTTATAAGCAGTGTGGATGACAGGTGTTGATATACTCCGGTCATGGTGAACTTACAAGTAATAGAGTAAGAACTTTATGGTTGAATTAAGGTAGCGAGAAGGTTTTGTGACGTTTTCGAATAAAACATTCTCTGTCTGTTGTCTCGTTCAGAACAGTAATTTAGCTTATATATTTCAAAAGACTAAGTATAGAGGTACAAGTTCGCACAAACTGGACAGTCATTGTTTACATAATTATCACGTGACATCAAACATGGCGAACCTTGTAAAAAAGTCCGCGATTGCGAGAGCACACTGCGGAATTTCCTGGTGAAATTTACGTCATGCATTGTCCGTAATCAAGTCCATTGAAATGTGTCCCCGGTAATCATACTTGGCACCTTTAACAGACTATTATTCTGTGACAAAGCATTTTCTTTAAAAACCCAGACATATTTCGCACCATCATTATCTTTTGAACGATAACTGCGAGTTTGAATGTCCTAGTCCGAACGCACTTCATTTGGCAGCGGTCCCAATGAGTCGTACTCAGTCAAAACCTCAACTCGAGAAAGACGCGAAAAACAGTTTTGGTTAATGAAACACTGTAGATTTGCTGCATTATTATAAATATACACTAAAAATGGCCAAAAATATTAATCTCTGATATCATAGAACTCATAAAGAGTGTCAGATAATGAATAATTTTATGCTCGAGCGTGAAAAATGAAGAAAACTGCTGGCATTT